TATGAACCAATGTATCATCACTGTTTCTCGGCAGGGTAGTCCATACATTCCTATGCTCCTGAGCTAAATTTCCCTAAAACCCATTTCCCATTTAGAAAAAATTAAAAAAATGCAGGGCCAGAGAGATAACTCAGCAGTCTAAAGCACCTGCTTAGGCAAGTGCAGGGACCGGGGTTTCAATCCCCGGCACCACATGCTGCACCAGCCTCACCCCCAGGGCGGGGTGGGCCGGCCACAAAAAAAAAAAAAAAAATCAGCCCCTCCCCTAGCATTCATTTTCAGTGATCAAAAAGTACTATACAGTATCATGTAAGTACAAATATCACTACCGAAAACAAAATGCTATAAATAGAGTGATGCTTTTGCTTCCTAAAAAGGCTGACATGCCAGAGCGATGCACAATAATAGCAAAAGTAGGATAATTCACAGCACACTCCAGGCGTCACAGAAGGACTGTCATCCACCAGACATGTCCAAGTAAGTGCAGCCACAAGCACCACAGGTGAGTATTCTCTGAGCAAAGAGGAAATGTGTTTAAAAAAAACAAACAGAACCCAAGCTCCACAGAACGGTGAGTGCAAGGAATACGGTGTCCTCAGATCTCCCTGGGTACGGCAACTTCAGTGGCAAATGCACACTCAACCCGCCAGAAGTCCCTGAGGTTACGCGGGAGCTCTACCGTAACCACCTCGAAGACGCAGGGTCAGGGCCACATCTTGGTTAACGTGGCCTAGAAGTCACGAGCTGTTGAGTCTCCCCTCCCCCAACCAGCTTCGTCCTCAAAAGGCTGCCGCCTCACTTTTAGCTATCTGGTAAGCACCCTTCAAGAAAATATCTTCACAACATACTTTGCAGTAATCACAGAGATGGCCAAGCCCTGGAGAACGATCAGAGGATTCTTTTATGCAACAATGACCCCAGGAAGCCATGAGTCAGAGGCTTTTCAGAAATTCCCTGAAACCCCCGCCGCCGCCACTATACCACATATAACTGTGCTTGTTCATAAGAAAATGATACCTTGGCTGATCTTTCCGCATTTAGCACAGTTATCTCACTCACCAGGCTATCAGCAGCTTGCAAAATCTCAACGGAAGCATCACAGCATGAAATGCTCACTCCATAACAGGGCAAAGCTGGGCATGGTGTTGCACAGCTGTAATCCCAGCACCGTGGGAGGCTGAGGCAGGAGAATCTCCAGTTTGAACCCAGCCTGGGCAACTTAACAGCTTAGCAAGATTTTGCCTCAAAATTTAAAAAGAAAAATTATAAAAGGTTGGGGATATAGCTCAGGGCGAAAGCCCTGGGTTCAATTCCCATAAACCAAGAAAAACAAAGTCTAGGCCTCTGGGCCAAGATACTGGGAGGAAAGCTCAACCTCCCAGCCCCTGATTCTCCACTGAGGAAAAGAGGTGGTGTGGTCTCTGTAGCTGCCCTCAGCTTTTTCCACACTTGGCCTCTACGCAGCTTCACAGAGAAGGGAAAACAAGCCCTGAGAGCAGAGAGGGAATGAAAGGGAGGCAGCTGTGTGCAGGGCCAGGCCAGGCCCTGCACGCACACAACTACACGCAGCCTTCCCTGGTCTCTTTCTGTCATCTTCCCACTTTAAAGGCAAGGAAACCGAAGCCAAAAGCAACAATCTGTCAAAAAGTACAAAGATAAAAGGAGAAAAACTAAAATATGAGCTCAAGTCCTGCATCACACTGCCCACATGGAAGAGCACGCCACAGGCTCACCCCGGCCAGACTTCTGCTCAGCCTGTGGGGAGGACCTGTTGAAGGAACTCTGTGAGATCCCCTCATTCAGCGTTACCTCATCTCACTGAGATAAGCTGCTAGAGCACAAGAGAAAGACACCAGCCACCGCCCAAGTGACTGGGTCCCCCCGCACAATGCAGTGCCTTACATGTCCCACGTCGCTTCCAACTCTCCTGCTAATGGGAGAGTCTCCCGTGCCTTTGATGCTTAGATTTGAGCCTAGAGATGTCCTGGTTGTCAGCTCAACCAAGGATGAGAACAAGATGAGCCCACAGACCATATAAATGGACGTGTGGAAATCCCTAGTTCTACTCCAGCTCAGGCGAAGAGTGCAGGTTGGAGAGATGGACAGTGCAGATGTCACAAGCGTTATCACCTCCCTGGAGCACAAACTGTGGGCCTGTGGGAAACGCAAGCACAGTTTTCTTGTGTCTCACTTGGAAAGCAAAGGGACATTTTTCCTTTCGCCTAGTGATGGAGATCTACCTGTCCAAAGAAATAAGCAAGCAAGATTCCCAGAGATAAGGGCCAGCCTGATAGCTCAGCAGACTAAAGTGCCTGCTAAGGCAGAGCGTAGCAGCTGGGGTTCGATCCCCAGGGTGCCATGCCAGCCCCGCCCCGCCCCCAGGATGCACTGAGATAGCGATTGAGATTGGGCATGGTGGCAGGCGCCTGTAGTCCCAGAGCCTGGGAGGCTGAAAACAGGAAAATCACTGTACAATCTGTGTAGTGTGACCCTGTAGATTCTATACTAAATTAAAAAAAAAAAAAACCTAGAGATAAATGTCACCAAAGACACACTGTCTGGTGTTCTTTGGTCCCCAGTAAAGATGCACAAAAATATCTTTTTATTTTATTTTATTTTATTTTATTTTATTTTTGGCAGAACCAGGGATTGAACTCAGACCCTTGCGCTTGCCAAGGAAGCACTTATTCCACTGAGCCATCTCCCTGGCCCTCACAAAAACATCTTCAGGAAATGAGACTACCAATGACACACCTAGCCTAAGAACAATGGAGATTCCATCTCATCTGGGAAAAACCAAGATGGAAAAACCATTCCATTGTATTTCAGTGGTCTATGCCTCTACTCTTTTGAGGATTTCTCCACATATCCATTAAAGGGTGGACCTCTTTTCTCTATCGGTGTGCGTCAGTGGCTCTCCAAAGTGCCCTAAACTAATGGCTTCCTTTTAGACTGGGACTCAGTCAGTGGTCTCGAATGTCTCTAAGCTAGGACAATTGTTGTCACTCTGTCTCCAATTGAAGGAACTAGCTTTCTGCTAATTTCTGGAGCTTTGTCAGTTGTGTCATCAGTTGGCATGTTTGTGCTCTGGATTCTCTCACTCCACCTCTGAGCTCACTGTTTAAACTCATGTCTCTACTTAGTCAGTCTCTGGCCCCAGTGCCGGAGCCAAAGGAGACAGACACACCCAGGCTGTGTCGGGAGGCTGTCCTTTGGCTTCTGACCCTTAACTCCACTTCCAAGAGCACAGTTTCTCCTGAGGAGAGCACCAGACACCAAAAGATGCGGAGAAGGAAAACATGGCCTTTGAAATCCTAATTGAAAAATCCTGTGTCCCTAGTTGCCCCTAGCAACATTAACATTACTGCTACTCCTGTGGCTAATGTTTTTTTACTTTTTATTATTCTGTAAAACAAGTTTCATGAGTGTCTGGGTTTTTAAAAAGATACCAGGAATTTTAAGCAGGATCTGGAGCACCAACAACTTCAGACACATTGCACAGGTAACATCTAGGAGTTGGTGTGACTTCTGTTACAACAGAGGTCTCTAATGCCCAGTCGGTCACCTGGACTTGTGGCCTTCAGTTTCCCCACAAGTCCTGGAAGGAGATGCCCAGTCGCCCTTCTTGAAAAATCAACCACATGTCCTCTGAGATTGAGCATAGAAGGAAGTCAGTCTCCTGACGCTGCAGTTATGGCTTAAGAGCGCCACCATCTCCCACTTGGTGAAGTTTCTCTTTTCAGTGTCAACAATGAGGGGCCAGGGAGACGGCTCAGTAGAATAAGGGCTTGCCTGGCAAGTGCAAAGGCCTGAATTCAATCCCCAGTTCCACAAAAAAAAAAAAAAAAAAAAAAAAAAAAAAAAAAAAAAAAAAAAAAAAAAAAAAAAACCAAATCAATGCCAACACTGAAGAGCTTGTGCTCAACTTTATAGAAGGATATGGAGCTTGTTCAGCTGAATCCAGACCGCCTATACTTCCTTTTTATCTCCCCACTCCTCCTCTTTCACAGCCTCCTCAGTAGAACTCCAGAGGAATATGTTGTTGGTGAAGAAGAGATTTCCAGAAATCAGGAGGATGCTTGAGATGCATTAATAAATATGGCATGTGGCCAGGCAGATCTAGGGTTGAATCCTGACTCTAACCCTCACTCACTATGAGATGAGAGTGAACTCCCAGCCTGTTTTTTCAAGGGATCTAACACCCACCTACAGGGTTACTGAAAGTGAAACATGTAAAGCACTAACATCTTGCCAGTGACATCATTCAGTCATTCCACCCCAGCAAACACTTAAACACCACATTCTTGACCTGTAGACATGCTTGGATACAGGAGCTACAAGGTTTAAAATTTAGTGCCTCCGTTCAAGGACATAACAGTTTAGTAGAGAAAGTGGGCTTGCGATCCATTCACAATAATATATGTTGGAGCACATAAGAACTACGCGATCCAAACAGGATGATGGGTCAAGAAGGAAGAGACACCCGAAGTGGAAGAACACAAAGAACGGTGTATACAAAGAGAGGGAACGTGACATGGCCAGGAAGGTGGACAGGTTTGGTATTGTCTGGTCTTAAAGACAACATGGGGGTGGGAAGAAGGATACTAAAGAAGTAGTAGAGTTGCCTGAGGGCACCAAAGCAGACTCCTTGAGTGGCCAGAAAAGAGAAGCATCCTGAACTTACCCAGTGGCAGCAGACAGTAGAAAGCGGAGAAAGGCAAGGCAAAACTCAACATCCCAGGCAGAGTACAAGGAAACAATAGCAAGGAGGCTATCAGGACAACCCAAAAATCAGAGATGGGACCTAGATTGCAAGAGTGGCATGGGAGGAGAGGAAGAAGAGGATTCCTCATAGGAGTGAAAAATGGAGGGTAGAAATCTCTTGGAGCTTGGATGATGGAATGGAAAGGGAGAGGTGCAGGAATGGGAGAAGCTCAAGCCAGTCTTTGGCACAGCTTCGTGCAGATGCAAGCACCACTCACAGAGTGGGTGTGAGAAGCATGGGAGTGTGCCGGCTCCAGGCTCCCTGGGCTGTTCTTGAGAAGGTGGTGTCAGCTGGCAGTCAGACGTACAAGCCTAGCTCCCAGGAGAAGGCCAAGCCTGCGCTCATCACTGGGGAAGTACGGAGGCAATTCAGTTGTCTTCCGGCCATAAGCGCTTGAGACTGCTCAGGAAAATGGACACAATGTGCAGCGCACAGCAGCGAGACACGGTCAAGGCCACATGATGCTGAGGGACGTGAGAGGCTAAAGCAGGGAGCACAGAACACTGAGGCAGAAAGGAACAAGCATGCAGTGCCACAGGAATCAAGAAGGAAGGGCTTCTCAGAAGAAGGGGTGGACAACAGCTGCTGTGTGCCGAGTTGGGTCCCTCAAGGCTCGTATCCTGAAGTGCTGGACTGGAAGTGCAGTGGTATCTGGAGAGAGAACTTTCAGGGTGCAATTAGGTTCAAGGAGGTCATAGGACGGAGCCCTAACCCAGTAGGATTGGTCTAAGAAGATGTCTCTCTTCACCTCCTTCTCCACCTCCTGCCTCACCTGCCCTCAGCTCCTTCATGCACACGTGCCCCAAGGAAAGGCATGTGAGGACACAGCTGGGCCGAGAACCCTCACCGGGAATGAAATCAGCCAGCACTTTGATCTCACACTTGCAGCCTCCACAAGTATGAGGACTAAGTGGCTGTTGTTTGAGCCACCCACTCAGTGGTATTCTGCTTTCTAAACCTGGGCAAATGAAGACATGGCCCGATAATGCAGAGGTTTAGACAGCTCGTGTTCACCTCGAGCTCTCAGCCCAGACTGGCTCGCTGCCACACCTGAGTAAAAAGCCCACCAGTGCCATGGCCTTCAGGTGAGGATTGCTCGTGGTTCTACACTTTCCTGAAAGTCTCACCTATGTGGCCTTCTTCCTAGTGGGCAACGACTGTAGCACTTGTGAGGCTTCCCATTCCCGCACCACACTGTCAAGAAAGACAAAGAATGCTTGTCTTAGAAGAAATCGTATAACCTCCCGAGCCTCCATTTCTTCCACTTTGAAGTGAGTCCAGCTAAATCTCCTCAGTCAGTTCTCATGAGGGTTAAATAAGTGAAACCATGGGTTGCTACCTGGGCTTTCATGAAATGACCATGCTTCTCACAACGTGCCTTTCAAAGGGCAGCCAGAGAGAAAAGAGACAGGAGCCTGGCATTAGGGAAAAAAGCAAAACATACCTAAAGCAAACAAACAACCAAAAAAACCTATGCCAAATAATGTCACTCTGTCTCTCAAATACTCTTCATAGCTCCCCAGTGCCTGAACTCTTAAGCACAGAATTCAGGACTGTCCACATTCAAGCCCAAAGCCCCTCCCCAACCTTCCCTCCTATTGTCATGGATTTATCCTTTTACTCTGCTCTCAGCTCTCCCGTTCATGGCAATTTTCAAGACACTCTTGACTTCACCTCTAAATCCTGCCATTGTGTAGTTCAAATCTATGTATACACATAGTCATATACAAGTTAAATTGCATTTCAAATCTGTCAGTCCAGATACTCAGGCACCCACTTCATGGTACCCACAAACATAAAAATTAGGGTATCTCAGGGCTGGCCAAATAGCTCAGCAGATTCAAGCCCCTGCTTAGGCAGATACAGCAGCCAGGGTTCGATCCCCAGCATTCCATGCCGGCCCTACTCCCTAGGTGCACTGAGACAGTGATTGACACTTGGCGTGGTGGTGCGTGCTTGTAATCCCAGCTCTTGGGAGGCTGAACACAGGCAGATCACTATGAGTCAGATCTACATAGTGAGACCCTGTAGACTCTTATGAAAATACAAAGAAAAAATTAGGGTATCTCTACCATCCTCTGAGCCAGTGTCACTGCCTTGCACGGTGACAAGGGCAGGGACTATGCTCTCAACATTCTCTTGTGAGGCTCCACAGATCCTCTAATCAGCTCTTGAATGAACACTTGCTCAAGGGCCTTAGAGTCCACGCAGCACCCAGACCCCAGGTTGCTGGTGAACTGTTGCACAGAAGGCCACACTGAGATGCAGGCTTCCTGTCCTGAGCACATGGGAAACAACTACTTTAGTCACCACCCTCAACAGGGCGGTGTGTGGGGCCTGACGCGCATGTTGTATGGGTTAGGATGGAGCAGCTTCTGCTGCAGTAACAAGATTGACCGAGGACTCTCCTCAGCTTAACTTCATACAACTTCATTTCCTGTGCATGTGAAGTCCACTGTGGGTCAAATTCTATCCCATGTTGCTATTTTGCTATCTGGAATGTGTACTCCAAGGCCACCATGGTGGAAGAGGCTAGGGCTAGAGGAGGCGCACCAGCAAGAAGTCTCATATCTCCAGTGGACTCAGGGTAACTGGAAAACATCAAGGAGTAAAAGGTCGGCTGGAAGCACAAGCCACCTCAGCGTCACTGGCTAGGTCTCTCTGTGTGATATCATTGTTTCCTTCCTCTGGGTTTAGAAACCTTGAGCACCCACCTGAGCCTATCTAGCCAGTAGAGGATCCACCAACTGGAGCCTTTGGACAGAGTCCATTCGCATCAACCACTTCAGTCATAAATTCCAGCACAATAACCTAGATGTTCCCAAATATTGCTTAACAAGTCCCTTTCATGTCTGAGAAGAAAAAAACAATTCTAATCCTCTGACCACTGCAGGAAAGAACTCCCCGTTCTGAACTGCCTGCTTCACTGCGTCTGATTAATGAGTTTCTGAAGTTATTTTTGTTGGCCCTCCCACCCTCAACGCCATGCTTTGCCCGTGGCAACATGTGTAGATTAACGAGGCTCTTAGCAGCTACTGGAGAAGTGCTCATTACCTTAATTATCCACACCTACAACTGAGGGCACCCGCAGCTGTCAGGACAGAGCAGTGCGTCTGGTCTGGGGAAGAGCCCTTGGGTCAGCCCAGGTGCCTCTCAACCAGGCTGCTTGTTTCTGGAGATGCAGGTGAGGAGCTGGGGAGGTAGACGCAGACACTAAAAGACAAGTTCAGTGCGCATCCCTAACTGCACATTGACGCATGGGAAACTGCAGAACCAAGCACCTTTAAGACTGCTGGCCTTCCAGGTCCCCTTTGCAAACCAGAGAGCCATCTCTCCCTCACTAGGACCACATGACGAACCACCACATCTACCCTTACCCTGCCTCTACCTGAGTCTGCCCCAGCTCCCCTGGGCTCCCACAGTAAAGGCAGGTTTTGGGGGCTCACTGCCTGGCTGCTGTGCCTGGGACCATCTGGGTCTGCAGCATCCAACTCCCTTGGGAGAGCCCTCCTCCCTCTGAGCCCTAGCATGGGGGGGGGACAATTCTTCTGTTTCTTCGCGCTGCCAAGTTGCCTATTGTCTCCCAGGCCTCCTGTTGCCTGCTGGGACTCAGCAGCCGCTCACCATCCCTGACATGGGGCGTTCACCTTGCCCTCTCCACGCACATTCCCTCATCCCACAGTGGCCCGGAGAGACCCTGTGGAAGACAGGTGTAGTCCTGTAGAATTCACGGCACTTGGGAGCTAAGACCCGCCCTGGAAGGACAATCATTAGAGGAAAGAAGACTGCAGCACCTCCCAGCAATCCTTCTCAAGCTCGTTTGATGATAATAATTACTGGAACTTTCTAAAGGTAAAACCTAACTCGGCAGTGTCCCAAATTTTCTGATCAAGGAGATTATGGGGCCAAAGAGGAAAGTGATCGATAATATAGAGTGTGCCTAAGGAGAGTCACATGGAGAGAAAACATTCTCTCAGGCTTTTACAGAGAGCACATTGGCCAAGCAATGGCTGTGACTCATCCACATGGCTGACACTGACAAAGGTTCTACAATCTGAGGTACAGGATCTCAGGATAAATCCTGAGGGGATTTCACTGACCTTATCAGACCCAAAAGCTACAACTCTTGTTGCATAGGTCCTGCTTTACCTTGGTCCTAACCATCCAGCAGAAAAGTATAAAAACGAAGTATAAGAAGTAAAGCCATGGTGTTATGTTGAGCTGGAGGGGACTCGGGTCAACAATTTCTGCCATTGCCGGTGAAGCAGAAGACCCAATACTATTACGGACTATTGAACTCTTTTAGAATATTTTGCTGAGTTTACACACCTATAATATTCAAATAACAGAACTTAACAAAAAAGGGTATACAGATGTATGTCCATTTTGTATCTGTGTATTCAAAGTGATTAGGATTGTTATATAGTTACATTCTATTAATGAATAGAGGGATTTGTTCTAATGGTGTTTGTAAATAGAGTGTCATGTCCGCATCTTGTACAGCAATTAGCCACTAGGAAGAATGTATGCAATATGTTAATTATTGAAACTGTCCTACCAATTTGATTTGAAACAGTCTCATTGCTATCTGTTTATCAATAAAATTATGGAAAAAAATAAAAGTTAGAAACACAAAAATAAAGGTAAAACCTGCAAGGCCCTCCCCAAGAAAATTGAGGTAAGATACTTTTCTTTTTTTCTTTTCTTTCCTTCTTCTTCTTCTTCTTCTTCTTCTTCTTCTTCTTCTTCTTCTTCTTCTTCTTCTTCTTCTTTTTGTATTTTAGGGAAGGGTTTACAGTGTGTTCAGGGTCTCACTAAGTCATCTGCCTGTTTACAGCCTTCCAAAAGCTGGGATTACAGGCCCAGTCTCAATTGCTTTCTCAGTGCACCCCAGGCATAGGGCCAGCACGGCAGGCCCAGGGATCAAATCCCCAGCCCCTGAGCCTGCTTGCAGGCACTTTAATCTGTTGGGCTATTTGGCCAGCCTCAAGACACATTTCCAAAACACAGCCTGGAGAGGTTCATTACAGGACAAGTTTGGAAGCACCAGGACATGGCCACGTGACAGTAGTGACCACTGACCAAACTCCTCCAAGGCACACATCCAAGGCACTGAGACACGGACGCACCAAATTATCACAGTGTGCCTTGCCATACAGATGCTGGACCCAAGACCCGATCCCAAGCACAGCCAGCATTTGAACGTCCATCTCCCGGACCCCTGGCCACCTCAGTCACACAACTAGTTCCTGAAAGAGAAACACTGGCCGGAGCCCACAGTCACTGAGCTCTCCGTGATGCAGCCTCACAGCAATGACAAAGCTTCAGGCGTGCGCTCCCACTTGGGTCTTTTTA